CAAAAGATGGAACTGACAAAGTCAGTCCCTGGGGGAAGGAATGTGGTTTTCTTCTGTGTTGAAGCGAACGGGGGACAGGGTTTTGTATTGACTGGCAGTGTCTTCTCTGAGATAATTACAGGAATGGGGGGATGTTTTTCATCTGGAGAAGAGAAAGTGGTAGGGGTGGGCAGAAGCCATACTTGGAAAGTAGGAGTTATTGGCACAGCAGAGCCTCAAAGCCATTGTCACATGCGACCTCTTAGTTGGCTGAAGGTCATTAGTCTGACACCTCTTCGTGCTCCATCTGACCCCTCGTTGGATCCCGGGGCGGTTGTACCCACACTCCCTGCCCTGTGCAGCAGGAACACCATGGTGGGGCTGCCCCAGAGCCCCTGCCATCCTCCCTCTGTGTTGTCAATCTCGCAGACATATGCCAGACACATATGTTCTATGGCGCCAGGACAGGTGCACCCCAGAGGTTCCCTCCTCCCCTCGCCACATGCTGGCCTGTTTGTCCACCCCGTGGCTCCCAGCTGCAGGTGTCGGGGCACCCCAGACAGCTGCAGTCATCGAGTCCTGTCTGGGCTGTGTCCTCCCTTCCCCTCCCTGTGTCCCTCTCTGGGCATCTCTGAGGGCCGCCTTGCCGGGAGCAGCTGTTGATTCAGATTTTCATCAGGACTTTGATAATTAAAATTCGAAGCTCTTCAGTCAGACATTTGCGTTCCATTACATTGAAGGAGCAGCTGTTTAAATTTGGGGCAGGGAACCAGGGCCTTGTGCAGTGAGCTTGAGTTTAGCTCATTCCAGTCTGTACATTCACTCCCCTTCTCATCATCCAGACAGAGGCTTTGGGAAAGCATCCCCACCCTCCCTGCCATCCTTTTATTGGCTGCACGACCTCAAGTAAGTTACCTGTCAGTAAAATGGCGCGAAATAACACACAGAGCCTACATGCCTACTTAGTGTTCGTTTATATTATTAGAATTTTATTTAATGCCCCGGACAGCTCAGTTCACTGTGTCAGACCCAACTTACAGAAGAGGAAACGGAGCCCTTGGAAGGTTAAGTCCCGTGTGGACACACATGCTGGCGGTGAGTGGTGTGCTGGGCTTTGATCTCTGGTCGGTCTGACTGCAGGCTTGGGGACGTCGCAACACTGCCCCTTTACTTCCCTTATGATCTCTGTGTTGCTCTCCACAACCAGGTTTGCCTTTTGTTCCTCCGCTTAACTTCTGAGGCAGTGGCTTCAACTCTGGCAGCTGCCAAGCCCTGCCTTATTCCCGAGGGCAGGTGGGAAACCTTGGACGAATTCTTTGCTGGACCCTCAGTTTTCCTGTCCTTTCTCATTGCAGACATTGAAAGTCATGTTGAAAGCAACCTTAAAAACCCCACCTGCACATATAACCTGCTTTGTTTTAGCTCCCATAGCTGCATTGCACACACACACACACGTGCACTAGCAGGGAAACGTCCTTTCCTTGGTAATAGCCGTCTATGGGGCCTGGAGCAGAGTTGAAATGACCCCCACCTGGAGTGGCTGTTCCGCCAGTAATAACAGTGGCAGTGTTTGTGGCAGCTGCCATCCTTTCCTGGGAGCACACAGTAAGCCTGGCTGCCACCCTGCTGGGGCTTGACATACATTATTTAATTCCATCCCACAACAGCCCTGCAGGTAGGTGTGATTTCCTCTGTATTGCAGATAAGAAATAAGACTTGTAGACGTTCAGAAAGAGGTGTCAGGACACAAAGGGAGGAAGCAGAAGGCTGGGATTTTAACCTCGCGGTGTAGACACCAGAGCCTGTGTCGTTCTGACCCACTCTATGATCTCCCCTTAGGGATGTCATCCTCCTGGGGTGCACAGCCAGAGTCTGGGCCCAAGGTTCTCTGGGAAGTGCTTCTGGTGGGATACTTCTGTTCCCCATGCAGCATGTCCTCCTGTTAACCTTGGCCCCTTGTTGCGTGCTGTAAGCTCTTTAAAGTGAATTGCCGTAAGAGTTGCTTAGAAAAAACATTGTTCTTTGCTTCTTTGACCCTGAAGAAGAAGAGCCCAGAGCTAGCATAGCCCGTTTCTGGGGTCTGTGACCCGGGGAAAGGCAGGGTCAGGGTCCAGCCTGGCCCAGGACAGAGGAGAGGAGGGCTGGGCGGTGGGGGGACCCAGGTGTGGTTGAGTCACCACCCACGTCGGGTCAGGGGAGCTTGTAGACCTCTGAACAAGGCTCAGGCATGGCCAGAAACGGTCCCTTAGACAGGTGCAGACGCCTCAGCATGGAGGCCACAAGGCCTGAGGATGGGACATGGCCCCGTCTGTGGATGCAGCCCCAAAGGTCAGTGTGGGGAACATGCTGGCTACACTTCCTGCCCACAGCTCCCTGAGTTACCCATCTAAAAGTTCACCTGGTGGAGTTTAGCCCCTCTTAGAGGAGGCTTTCAGAAGAGTCTCAGGGTAAAATGATTTATGAAAGCCTTCCATGGAGCTGGGGCTTCCAGATGACACAATGCCTGGTGTCTGCAATCTGCAGAGGGACCATGCAGTAATGGAAGGTGCTCACACGCAGCTGACAGGCCCCCGTAGACATTAGGGAGTCCCAGGTAATTACGCCTTCTTTACCTCAGTTGCTCTGATTTCCTTAGGCTGGTGGTTCTCAAAGTGTGGCCCATGGAACCACATCCACGTCACCTGGGAACTTGATAAAATGCAGATTCTCAGGTCCCTCCCCAGACCTATGGAACCAGAAAGCTAAGGGGCAATGCCAGTACACTCTGTGACTCTCCAGCTGATTCTGACTCACTCCAAGTCCGCAAACCACTGCCTTTGACCAGTAACGCCTGGAATATGGGATGTCACCACTGGTGGCTCCTGAAATTTTAAGTGATATGTGGTCATCCAAGGGCATAGAATTCCACAGAGAATTCAATTCCATGGAGAGTTCTTCATTCTCTTGTAATTCCTCCTTACACAAGGACAACCTCTCAGTTTTGGGGTGTCTGCAATCCCCTGCCCTTCCAACACTTGCGGACGCTCATTTTCACCTCAGAGAAAGTGTGTCTCAGGGTCAGAAGCCTAGGTGAGCAACAATATCCAGCCAACATTTACTTACTTTTTTGTTTCTGTTAATTTTATTTTCATCCTCATTGTCTTGTTTATGACAAGTGAGACTGGGTTTCTGTTTTTGGTAGTGATATGAAGTTTCCTTTTAAAGTAAATTAAACAAAGTGAGCCATTTAAAAAAGTGTTCACTAAATATTAGTACAGGTAGCACCAGGATTTGGCAAAACTAGTGCCAGAGGCATTACAGGATTTAGGAAGCTCGCTTAGAAGCCAGCACTCCTGCAAAGACTGGGTTCATGGACCTTGGAATGCTTTCGGGGGGTGATTCTCACTGTTTGTGGCTTTAAGGTTTCTGTTGTGAAGGGGCATCTTTCCTGAAAGACAGTGCGATACAGCTGCAGTGATTCTCACACTATGCACCTGCGTTGGATCCACCTGGAAAACTCTTTAGAAAATGTGGGTGCTTAGGTCCCACCCCTGAACTATTGGATTAGAATCCCTGGAGCACAGCCTGGGAATATACATCTAACAACAAGCTCCCAAGTGATTTATATAACCGATAAAGTTTGAGAAACACAGATGATGCTATAAGAATACAGACTGGTGAATCCAGCCAACCTACGCTCAGATCTCCACTCAGCTTTGCCAACTCACCTAATCTCTCTGAACCCCATTTCCTTATCTGAAAAGTGAGGTTAACAGCAGCTGTGTTTTGGGATTGATGTGAGGCTCGGGAGATTTACCAGCTGTGATGTTCTGTGCACATATTAGCTGTTTTGTGTGAGCTCAGCTTTCTTCACCTTGAGGATGTAATTCAAAGCTATTTCACTTACACTTAAACTATCACGGCAAAGAGATTGAGATATTTGTAGGGGGTTTAGGAAAAGTTTGGGCTCTTGCCAACTTTGCTCCTTGTAGGAGTGCTTTTGGACATCAAGTTTGTTGTTGTTTTCTTCTTTCTGAGGCTCGCAGGTGTGGCGTTGGATGCTGGGGAATGTTGCGTGGCCTGAGCATCAGAGCGTGGCTGCTTCCATGACCAGAATGGGAGGCTGTTTTACCTGCAAATGCTGCAGCCTTCCTCAGCTAGCTGTGTGCCTTTTAAACATAGAGATCTTCCAGGGCTTTGTAGTACAGGCTGTAATTTTTTAAAAAATGGGAGAGTTAGAAGGCAGGTACAGGAGTCTTGGTATGGGGATTCTTTTGTGAGTCCATAGCATGTAATAAGAATGCACCACCAAGATCAAAACAGGTGGGTATTGATGCGGGATACCGTTGGCCGAAGGGACTTGGGGCGTCTCTCAAGCTGTGAAGCATCCTCTGGCCCAGCAGGGCATGTAGGGTACCTGGAATTAGTGCCGGGGCTTCTGGCTCTTTCAAATCCTCATTGTGTGACCTTGCTAAGTCATCTTCCCTTTCTAGGCTCCAGTTTTCTCAAAGGCAAGATAGGGATCATAATGAACTTGTCTCCTGGGGCTATGATGAGGATGACTGAGGAGATAAGTGTGAAAAGTGTGTTGTCACCTAGGCAATGGTGCGTGGGTGTTGTCTGCCCATCTGTCACCTGGAAAGTTATGTGCAGGCATTTCCTGTCTGTCAGGAAGCCTTCATTCAGTATTAATCACCGAGGTCGTGCACATTTAGGTACTTTGTGGTCATTTTCCTTAGAGATTGCAAATTCATGGGCCATGAGCTCAGATCAATGCACAGACATGTATTCTTTGAGTATACAGTGTTTTCTAAAAATTGCTTTGGGATGCCTTTAGACAGGATTTGTGTTCTTTGGTTCATTGAATATCCTACCCCTCTGTGTTGCCTAATCTATGGCTTTGCTTATTTATACTTTCTGTGGACCTAGGTCCTTGGAGGTGACCTCTAAAGTTTTTGATTTCCAGGTATAGTCCCCAAGTGTAGTGGATGGATATGCTGCAGGTGTGACTGGCCCTCCTGCAGGCATGATTTGCAGGCCCTCCTGCAGGCCCTCCTGCAGGCACTAATAGGTGTGCTAGGGCAGAGGAGGAGTGCAGAGGGCTTCCCTGACTCTGTTATGGAGCTTCACCTGTCTACAAAGATCACCTGTAGGGCCATTTGCAAAATAGCCACAAGTGAAGTGTTGGGGACCACAAGGATAGGGTGCACATTCAACTTGGGGTGAGAATGCTGGTCAGGGAAGAGTTCCCTGAGGGAGCCTTACTACTTTGACTACATTTCCAAGAGTGAGGAGATCACAGGGTAAGGGTGGTCTGGGCTTTACCTGCCTGCAGTGAAGGCAAGAAATGCTACAATGTGTTTGAGTGACCCTCAGCTAAGCTGGGTTAGGACATGGCTCATGACCTGAATGAAGGCAGCAGGGGAGGACTTGCTCCTCCAAGAGTGTCATCCCAGATGGAGCATTCGGGGCTCCTGCAGGATTTAGAATGAGCATTTAATGAAGCAACTGTTGGTGGTGTTAGCAAGACCAAAGGGACCTACAGGGGGTGTTGAGGTACCAGGGAAGATTAAGAGAAACAGGCTTGGAGAAGGGTGGGGAATGTCTGCTTTGGGCAGGAGAGACCAGAGATCCAGGTGTCTGTTGGACATCCAGGTGAATATGTCAGCTAGGTAGTTAGGTATACACGTCTGAATCCAGGGGAGAGAGCTAGAACAAAGACATAAAATTGGGAGTAGTCAGTGTATGGATGCTATTTAAGGTTGTGGACTTGGGTGAGACACTTGGGGATAAGTGTAGAGGGAAGAGAAGAAATTCAAGGACTGAGCTCTGAGCCCTCTGACATCTGGGAATTGAGAAGAGGGTGAGAGTCCAACATGGAGGCTGAGTTGGGGTGGGTGGAAGACAAGCAAGAGAGAACAGAGTCTGGAATCCCAGAGAAAGCAGGAGGGGGCATCGATGCTGTCAACACTGCTGACAGAGCAAGTGTGATGAGGACTGCGAATTGACCTTTGGGCTCAGCAACGTGGAGGTCATGGGCAACCTTGAGGAGGACAGTTTCACTGCCCTGGGAGCAGCAAGGTCCTGATCTGAGTCACTGCAGGTGCAATGGCATGAGATCGGACACCGCGGCTGCAGACACTCTTTCCGGTTTTGTCTTGTTCTAAAGGGGAGCAGAGAGATAGTGAAGATGCATGACTCTAAATGCCTAAATGCACTTATTAATTTGAAAGAAATAAAAGTAATAAAACCATATTTCAGAAATTTTGTAAACTAGAGAAGAGGAAAACAATTCTCTAATCCCACCTCCCTTTTGTGCCATCACTGATAGGATGTTTTAATTTCCAGCCTCCCGTACTCACCCTCCTCCCTGCCCCACCCCTGCCTCATGCTCATAATTTTTTAAATCACTTGTAATGTTAGTGCAAGCTCATTTTGTATCTTGCTTTCCTCACTTAACATTTCATCATGAGCATTTTGCCGTGCTGTCTTTTTGCCAGAGTAACCTCGGTAGTTAAAATTTGCATGATCTCATTAGGACCTGTTCCCAACCTCCATATTTCCTGTGGAGTCTGAAACTAATGAAGGGGATGAAGAAAATGTCTGTAAATATTTTGTTGTTTTGCAAACACAAGCACTCTTAAATCCAGTTTAATGATTGCTCCGTTTAATTAAACCCTCTTGGTCTTACTTGTTACCCTGTTCCCTGCACTGATTAGAGCCCCTCTCTGGAAAGGAAAATTCAAATGCATGTTGCAGTTTCTTTTTTCTTCCTCCTCTTCTTTCACCAATGTGAAAGGAAGAATGTGATTCTGCTTTGTGTCTTCTTCTGACCCAAATTGCTCAATAGTCTTTTGTTTGGAATAAAGTACTCTAATCTTTTTCTATGGAGGTGACCACGAATTTTTCCCCCCTCCTCTTTTAAAAAAACATATTAAAGTATTATTTCTAGACTGTAAAATTTAAGTGTACAGAGTAGTTCACTTTGGTCATTGTAATCATGTAACTACCATTACATCAAGATATAGAATCACACTCTTTCCTCTCCTCCTCTTTGCTTTCTATCAAAGAAATCCACCCCGCCCCCCACGGCCTTCCCCACAAACTCCCTTCCCCAGGCAACCACTTTTCTGCTTCTTGATACTATAGTTTTGCTATTTTTTAAACTTTATATAAAAGGAATAATATGCTGTATAGTCTTTTGTGCTTGACTTTGTCACTTAGTCTACTCTTTTTTTTTTTTTTTTTGGACAGAGTCTCACTCTGTTGCCTGGGCTAGAGTGCTGTGGCGTCAGCCTAGCTCACAGCAACCTCAAACTCCTGGGCTCAAGCAATCCTCCTGCCTCAGCCTCCTGAGTAGCTGGGACTACAAGCATGTACCACCATGACCGGCTAATTTTTTCTATTTTGGAAGAGACGGGGTCTCGCTCTTGCTCAGGCTGGTCTCCTGAGCTCACCCGCCTTGGTCTCCCAGAGTGCTAGGATTACAGGCGTGAACCACTGTGCCCGGCCGAGTCTATTCTTTTTAAGATTTATCCATCTTGTTTCATGTATTAATACTTCAGGCTGAATAGTATTCCAAGGATCTCCCACAATATGTTAATCCATTCACTTATTCTTTATTTCCTGTCTCTGACTCAACTCATTCACCTTATTTATCTTTAAATTGTAAGTGACAGGGACAAGCCAGAGAGCTTCTTTTAATATGTGCTTGATCATGCAGGACATTCAAAATGCAAAGTGCCCCACCTGTACCTGGGCTCACCACACTGCCCTTATGAGATAATCCTAAATTGTGACACAGTGGATTGGAATCCTAGGTGGGGGTTGGGCTCTTAAATCCATTGTTAAGCTGAGAACTGCCTGTTGTCAAAATTAACCTTAGAAATTTTTTTAAGGCACCCATGATAATATATGCCTCGTTGAGTAATTCTTATACACACAGCAGTTTAAGATCCATGGAACTAGACTAAAGGCATGAACAAAAGAAATCAATATGCCGATGAGTGGACAAGGAGTCTGCATTCAATGGGTGGGGAATTCTAAGGTCTTTTTGCTTGTCCACAAGGTTTTCTACCCTGTTTTAGTATTAAGTCTCTGTAACTTTAATTCAAATGATTCTTTTTTTGGTAGTGGGGATTTAATAATATTTGCAAAACACTTAGCCCAGATTTGGCACATAGTATATGCTACAAAACGTTTCATGGAATTAAAGCTACCGCTTGCCAGATCAGAATCACATAGAACCCCCGTTTTTTGAAAAATTGTTAGGATCTTGGCCACCTGGTCTCAGCCTTTTCCAGCTGGCATCTCTGGTGCAGCCCCACAGACGAGCCCTCACTGTCATGTCTTTGAGGCTTGGTCTCATAATCCCATTGTCATCCATCTGTAGACCAGTTGTCCAGTCCTCAAAGGAAGCTCAGATTGCAGGGTCTAATCACCTTAATCGTGGAAGGGGGAACAAAGCTTCAAGAAGAGGGAGCTAGAGGGAAAACACCTCTAGCTCTATTGCTGCCGCAAGCCTCCTGCGGTTGTGTTTGCTGAGATGTGCCATTTAAATCCTCAGCTGCTTGGCCAAATCAGAGAGTGTTTCTTTATGGCATCTTTGGGGGGAGGCCCAGGCTGGAGAGGCCATGGGCATCCCTGGAGCCTACAGAAGAGAATACTTCTCCAGGCGTGCTTTGTGTTTTGCTTCATTGCAGAGACATGAGCTTTCATTCGCCTGCTTTGTCTCCTGGTGTTGGCCCTCAGTCCCTGAGAAATGGGAGAAGCTGACGCCTTTGCCACGTGAAATCTGTTTCACTGTTTAGAGAGTGGTGTGGGTGGTACAGTATGAGCTGAGAGGGCCTCTCCTGGTGTTAAGGGGTGGGAAGAGACTAGAAAAGGGAGGCAGGCTGACTTTAGATGTTTAGGGCACCAAGATTCGGCTTCTCGCCCATCTTCCCTCAGAGATCTAACTGATGGAGCGTACACACAAACAAACTGGAAGCAAGCACCATTCCTTTTCATCTGTGTGAGCACTCCCTAGCCCCTGATTGTGGCATGCCTGATAAACTATGCTTAGGTCTCCCTTCCTCATGAACTAGAGACAGTGTCAAAAAAATTGCAGGTTTGTACAGTAGTAAGGAAAGCCTCTGTCAAGGGGGACTATGGCAATAGGAATAGGAGGACGGTTGCAATAGGGGACACTGGTTGGGGTGGGTGGGGAGAGTAGGTGGCCTGACTGATGAACTGAACTCAGGATATTTCTGTGTGGTCAGCCAGTCCTCCATGGGGGGAGGGAAGCCTGACTAAGATTTGATCAAGTCAGTTGAGTGGGTAGTTTGTCCAGATTGGTTAGTGTTGTAGATGAACAGTGCAGCTAATTGTTTCTGAGACCAAGTATGGGCATTTGGAAGGTCTATGTGTGGTCTTGCCAGAGGAGCCACCATAATTCTTACCTAAGCTGTACGGGGAAAGGTGGTTCTTTGCAGTAAGCTGTTTCTGGGAGATTGGGGGGATTTCTTAACCAGAAGGGCTTGGGTCAAGTTCAACATTGTCAACAGCAAGCTCTGTTCTGACTTACCCACTCACTCTATTGCATGAACGGATGGCACTGGTTGGCCTCTCACTATTGGTCTCCAGGATGGAGAGAGAATGACAGCCCTGGACCCTGCCCAGGGGGCTCTTTTCTCACCTGTACTGGAAGAAGGAAATGAAAGAGCAGGTCAGGGGACCCTAGGCATCTGAGCTCAGGTGGGCAAAGACATGGTAGAAGCAGAGAGATGGAGATGCACCTCTGAGACACTGTGAGCACTAGTAAATATAGCCCAAGGAGTGATAAGCTTTACCAGTCAAACGAGCGAATCCCACACCCTCTGGGAGGAAAAAGTAAACGTTTTCCTTTAACACTTCCCCCTGAGGTGCAGGCAGTGGCAATTGCTTTTTCTATAGGAGGATGAGGATGGAGCAGAGTTAACCATCTCCATCCCCTACCCCAATAAAGTTCAAACTTTCACTCTGATTCTCAGTAGCTATGTGACTTCTGGAGGTACTTTCCTTCATCAGTAAAACTGGACAGTGGTCCCTCACCTCTTAAGTGCCTAGGTATAGCTGAGTTCCCTTCCCGGATTGATGACGGGAAGGCAGGAAGCATTGTGATTTCACTGGTTAATTGTTCAACCAGTGTTCTCGGATTTTCTGAGGTCTTCCTTTGGTGACAGATGGTCCTAGTGAGGGAAGTGTTTTTTAAAAACAGCAGCAATTCATCCGTCTCCTACAGTAACACAGCAGACACACTGTGAGGAGTGCTCTTAAGGCGGCTGCCTCCACTACTCTGAGCTGGTTCACTCTGCAGAAGAATGCGCATTACCTTGGCGGGGGATTGGGGGCAGCCTTCCCAGGCCCAGGGGAGAAGCCAGCACCACCCCCACCCCCCCCACACACAGGAAGATCAGGAGTAGCTTGCAGAGGGTGGTCTACTGTCAGGAAAGGGACCCACAGGCCTTACCTATAGCCTGGCTGGGCCTGAGGGCACTTTCTGAGAGGCTGAGCCATCTTGCTCTGGGGGTCTCTAAGCTGTGTCATAAATGCAGACTTTTTAATGGAAACTCAGATTTCCATGCACATTGTGCCTTGCAGTTGGGCTCCCAGAGAGGCCCTAAAATGGTAAGGACTGTAATCCAGGGAGCGATTTTCTCTTTGTCCAGGCCACAGGACATTAACAAAGACATTAGCACAGCCATTTCATTTGGACGGCCAAAGTTTGGGCTGCTTCTGTTTCCTTAATTGTATTTCTCTTTTCCTCTTCTTATCTCTGGGTTCATTAAGTCACTGGATAGCACATTTGTGAAATAGGCCATTTGGAGAGGGCTAAGGATTCAGATAATTAGAGTAGGAAAGGGTATCCTAGGGTCATGTTTGCCAGGGCCATGCCTCACACAAGTTTGGTGTATGTGTTTATTTTGTTTAACTAGGTTTTTTAAGACTTCAAACATATATACAGAGCAACATAATGAACCTTCATTGGCTGCTTCAAGAATTACCACCTCATGGCCAATTTGTTTTACCTCTACCCCAATCCACTTACCCCTTACGTATTATTAATATGTTTTTTTTCTATCATCGACCAGATTCCCTCATGGTCTTCCTTTGTTGTCAAACTTTGCCTCATCCTCAACTCCTGGTAAACCAAGGATCTGTTTGTGTTTCCTATAGTTTGGACTGTTCCAGACAGTCAGATAAGTACAATCATGGATTTTTTTAGCCTTTGAATCTGGCTTCTTTCAGTTCACATAAATCGTTTGATACTTGTCCATATTGTTACATGCATCAGTAGCTTCTTCTTTTTATTACTGAGTAGGATTCCACTGCAAGGATGCATGTGCGGTTGATTTTTGAACTGGGTTGTGAGGATCCAAGAACTATAGAGACAACTGGCATTGCCTTGATGGGCAAGTCATAAAAATTTGTGCAATGAGCCCAGGTTTCTTGGAAGGAGGGAGATTTGAGCAAAGGTAGCTAAACACTGTGCTTTCCTTGACATGAATTGACATGCCAAAAAAAATTGACATGACCAGGCTAGAAACTGGAAAAAGGGCCATTTCTGCCTCATACTTGGGGTAGTTTCTAGAAAATACAGTGACTAAAGGTCACCTAAGGTTGATCCACAAATCCCTTTCCTGAGAAAGCAGAGACTATCTAGTTGTGAAATTTGTCAAGTGAGTGTGGAGGACAACTATACACGTGAAGATGGATATGACCATCAAAGACAAAACAAAATAAGAGAACTCACAAGTCTACTCCAGTGGCATGCTAAAGGAATAATACACCACCCTAAAATAGGATTTATCTTAGAAATGTAGGAAACATTCAACATTAGGAAATTAATCAACATTAATGAATATATGTCACATAGATAAAATCAAAATAGAAAACCATATGACTAGTTCAGTAGTCTCAAAAATGCTTTGATAAAATCCAGCACCCATTCTGGTTTAAAAGCTGGAAAAGGGCTGGGCACTGTGGCTCACGCTTGTAATCCTAGCACTTTGGGAGAGGCCGGGGAGGCAGGATTGCTTGAGCTCAGGAGTTCGAGACCAGCCTGAGCAAGAGTGAGACCCTGTCTCTACTATAAATAGAAAAAAATTAGCCAAACAACTAAAAATAGAAAAAATTAGCCAGGCAAAGTGGCACATGCCTGTAGTTTCAGCTACTCGGGAGGCTGAGATGGGAGGATCGCTTGAGCCCAGGAGTTTGAGGTTGCTGTGAGCTAGGCTGACGCAACGGCACTCTAGCCCAGGCAACAGAGTGAGACTCTGTTTCAAAAAAAAAAGTTGGTAAAGAACACAATACACCAAATGCTCTGGCCAAATAGGAATTGTGAGATGAGTCATTATAATGCTAAACAAACAAACAACTTTTCTCAATCTAAAGCTAATGTTATCATTTGCCAGGAAAAATTAAAAACATTGACATAGAAGTCAATATTAAGACTAAATTATCTGACACTCCCATTATTCAACATTAAAAAGGTATAATAAATAATGGCTACTATAAATTTGTGTTCCCTAAAAGAAGCTATGTTGAAGTCTGAACCCCAGGTACCTCAAAATGTGACCTTATTTGCAAATACGTTCTTTGAAGATTTAACCAAGTCAGATGAGGTCTTTAGGGTGGGCCCTAACCCAATACGATTTATGTCTTTATTAAAAGGAAAAATTTACACACACAGAAGTCAACGTGCAGAGACACAGGGAAAGGTGCAGGATTGGAGTGATGCATCTTCAAGCCAAAGCATGCCCAGGATGGTGAGCAAACCACCAGAAGTTTGAGAGAGGTGGTCTCTCTCATGACCCTCAGTCAAAGCCAGCCCTACTGACACATTGATTTCTGACTTCTGGTTTCCAGAATTGTGAGACAATTGTGAGACAGTACATTTCTATCATTTATGTCACCCAGCCTATGATATAATACTTTGTTATGGCAGCCCTAGGAAATGCATATAATAGCTAACATTTATTGCATGTTCACTATGTGTCAGGTACTATTTTAAGTACTTTACATCCATGAACTTATTGTAATTTTTATAACAGTTTTATTGGGAAGAGGTGATTATTATCCCCATTTTATTAATGAAGAAACGAAGGCACAGAAACATTAACAAACTTTCCCAAGACCATCCAGGCAATCTATTTTCTAAGCTAATCCCTAACATTACCATAAATTATGAAATGTTCAGATTTATAATAATTATAACATTTTGGCATTGATATATTAATATTTAGACACATGAATCAATGGAACAGAACAGAAATGTCAGAAATAAACCCATGTATATGTAAGCATTTCATATATGTAGTCATCGGGGAGTAGATGAATTATTCAATGGTGCTGGAACAATAATGAAAGTACTTTAAAAAGTAAAATAGAGTTAGATTTATATGCCACATTATACATTAAAATTATTTCAAGATGAATTAAAGATCTAAATGTATTCATAATTTAACAAGAGGATAAAAAAATGATACAGGTGAATGTTTATTTCTTCTGTAGTATCAGATACATGAATATCAGATAATCTGTGTAGGCAGTTTTACCAGAGTGGGAAATTATTTGCAGATTTAACTTTATGCTCAACAATGTGCATATATCAAAAATAATTAAGAGGTTAAAAGAAACTAGAGGAATGTTTATTACTGAAAAATATAAAAAATAAGTTAATGTGTTTACCATATTAAGAGCACTTATGAATTAGAATGGATAAATTATAAAAAAGAGAGGACATAAACTGTAATTTACAAATAAAATGCCAATGGCCAATTCATTTAACCTCACCTAATATTCAAATAACTTAAAATTAAAATAATGGGACTCTGCATTTCATCAATTAAATTGACAAAGATTAAAAACAGTGATGATGCTTAGTACTAGTAAGGACACGAGGGAAATGAGCAATCCTACACGTTGCAGAAAGGAGTGTTAATTGCAACAACTGTTCTGGAAGGTGATTTGACTATCTAATATATATATAAAATTATACATGCCCTTTGACCCTGGAAATCCAACTTTTAGAATATTATCCTAAGGAAATAAATGTGGATATGTCTTAAGGTTTAATTCTATGTTTTATAAAAAATAAAATAGGAAAAAAAAGAAAAATAAGAAAAAGGGATTTGGTTTAGTAAATTAAGGGCAACCATAAGTAAAAAAGTGGCAACCATTAAAATTAGGATTTAGGAGAACCACTAGTAAAACAGGAAAATATTCCTGATATTGTAATGCTCTTTAAAAGTAGGTTGCACAACTATAACCTTATAGTATAGTTTGAAGCCTGGTAATGTGATACCTCCCAATTTGTTCATTTTGCTTAAGTTTGCTTTGGCTATTTGGGCTCTTTTCTGGTTCCATATGAAGCATAGAATTCTTTTTTCTAGATCTATAAAATATTATGATAGTATTTTGATGGGGATTGCATTGAATCTGTCAGTCACTTTCGGTAGTATGGATATTTTAACAATGTTGATTCTACCCGTCCATGAGCATGATATGTTTTTCCACTTGTTTGTGATTTCTTTCCTCAGTGTTTTGCAGTTCTCTTTGTAGAAATCTTTCACCTCCTTGGTTAAGTATATGGTATGGGCACAGAAATAGAGACGTAGACCAATGGAACAGAACACAGAATCCAGATATAAAACCATCCA